CAAGGTACTCGGTTTCTCGCGTCTCCAAGCCCTAGACAGCAATCTCAACTGCCTTGAACCTCAAACCTTTGGGTTTAGGGTTCAGGGTTTAGGGTTTGGGGGTTTATGGGAGGGGGATGGTGGGCCTTCACGGAAATCCGAACTCGACCGAAACGAAGTGCCAGCATTTAATTTTGGCATTTTGCAAATTCCTTGGGGATACATCCCAATTCATATTGGCATCGGAGAAAAAATTGAGGATACCCCCTAATGCCCTAAACCCTAAACCCTCAAGACAAAATAAATTGAAATTGTATGTGGCATCATTCTGAATTTTCCCAGGTTGTTGCCTAAACAGCTGACAAGCAGAGTCTAAGTACATTCATCCACGGCGCCTGGGAGCCCAAATGCCCAGTTTACTTAAACCTCTGGGGCCTTCTCACCCCAAAGAATCCCAGGAGGCCAGCCAGGGCGGGAAGGCCAAAAACATACATTAGGTTCTGAAACAGAAACTTTCGCCCGAAACTTATTGGGACCCCCAAAACTTTCGCTCAAAACTTATTGGGAGCCCCCCCCCCCCCCCCCCCCCTCCCCCTTGCCCCCTAACCTAATATCTGAAAAAGAAACTTTCGCTCAAAACTCCCTGCCCCTAGGCTGTAAGCTCGAACTCTAAACCCCAAACCCTAAACCCTAAACCCCAAACCCTAAACCCTAAACCCGGTAGGCCCGAAGCTCGAACTCGAAACCCTAGACCTGAAACCCGCGGAGGCCTTCTCCGCTGCTCTACTAGCGAGATGCTTGGACTTGAGATGGTGAACCCAAACCCTAAACCCTAAGCCCGATAGGCCCCAAGCTCGAACTCAAAACCCTAGACCACGAACCCTAAATCCTAAACCCTAAACCCTAAACCCTAAACCCTAGGCCTTCTCCGCTGCTTCGTAGTCTCGGCTCCAGCGATGGCAGGTCCCGACTCGCACGGACAGCGCTGCAGTGGTCCAGTGGTCCTCCAGAGGGTTTAGGGTTTAAGGTTTAGGGTTTAGGGTTTAGGGTCTAGGGTTCAGGGTTTAGGGTTTGGGGTTTGGGGTTTAGGGTTTAGGAAGTAGGGTTTAGGGTTTAGGGTTTAGCCAATATCCCTCAATGGAGGAATATTCCTGAAAATCATACTAGGACTATTCATTCTATCTTGTTCGGGGATATGGGAGTTGGATTGTAGCCAAGGGGTACAGGGCTTCATCTTCATAATAGTTACATGGGCCCCCTGCTATGGGCCGGGGAACCTTATATAAAGCTTATATACCGTGTATCACCCAAGGGCCATATTTACTTCAGAACCCTTTGAAGGGTGTTAGGCTGAGCCCCAAACCCTAAACCCTAAACCCTAAACCCTAAACCCTAAACCCTAAACCCTAAACCCTAAACCCTAAACCCTAAGCCCTAAGCCCTAAGCCCTAAACCCTAAATGAAGCCTAGGCTTGCCGCCTGGCTCATCGCCCCTTTTTGATTGCCCTCGCGGCGTCATGCGAGGCGGTTTGATGGACTCAGAGGCCTGGGTGTCCGAACTCGCAAAGCTCACGACACCTACTGGACTGCTGCAATGTAGCTGCAATATATATATATATATATATATATAGATAGGGTTAAGGGTTTAGGGCGGTTTAGGTAGGGTTAAGGGTTTAGGGGGCCTTGATAATTAGAGTCGGGTTTGGGGGGTGGGTGTTATAGTAGGATTTTGTAGGCACCATCAGTGATTCTTTCAACCCCTGAATTTTCTGGCACTGACTTCCCCCCCGCCATTGTGCCTTGTGCTTTGCTCTTCGGACGCCAACGGCTAGTGAGCATCTGTCAAAATAGGCCGGTGTCGATCGAGCCATGGTCATGGCAACATGCCAGGACAAAGCAACTTCACCCCTCAATTGAGACTGTACAGACGCGCCACAGATGTTGCGGGCAGCGGCACCCTGCTACTGTGGCAGCGCCGACATCCGTCATGCAAAAGGCAGCGGCTGTCGTGTCGCGGACACGCCCCCGCAGAACAAAATCTTAGACCAGGTGGCCATGGCGCCACCTTCCGTGATAACAGGCACGAAACAAGAAAGAAATCAAAAGCCTCTCCTCTGGAAGTCCACAAGCGCCTCTCACTGTCAGAAGGCTGCTGTGCCCAAAGTCAATCAAATGCAGCAGTCGAAGCAGTGTTCCCATTGCTGAGACATCTCGTTGAACTGCAAGTAGCACACCCCGAGCTGTCTCGAACAAGGCTTGTCACCGTGCTTGGCCACGCGCCACACGTAGCCTAGCCGAGTCTCGCACAGGACCTTGAACTGCTCCATCGCCTCCTCATACTGCTCCTTGGTCAAGAAGTCGCTGAGCCTCCTTTGCAGCCGCTGGCGCGCGCGGCGCCGGCCGGCCTGGTTTGTGGCGGCCTGAATTGTGCAGATGGCTTGGTCCAGCAGATGCTGGACATGCCCTGGGTTTTCCCATTCAACGCCCTCTTGGCTCGACGCGTCGCTCAAAGTCTGCTCGTCCGACATGGCAATCGACGCGTCGCTCAAAGTATGCTCCGACATGGTGCAGACTCGCGCAGCTTCCACACGACTAGACACAGGCTCTGGGCTTAAGGCACCTCTTCAGCCCAAACGGCGGCCCGAAAACAGCAAACCCACAATTGGGTTTAGGGTTTAGGGCTTAGGGTTTAACCATGAGTTCTCTGCCTGTAAGAGAGCCCCAAAGCACTGGCGGCCTGCATTGTACAACCCAAGTCCCCCATTTAAACATCCAAAACAAACCGACGCCCAAGGGTTTAGGGTTTAGGGTTTGGGGTTTGGGTTTAGGGTTTAGGGTTTAGGGTTTAGGGTTTAGGGTTTAGGGTTTGGGGTTTGGGGTTTGGGGTTTGGGGTTTGGGGTTTGGGGTTTGGGGTTTGGGGTTTGGGGTTTGGGGTTTGGGGTTTGGGGTTTGGGGTTTGGCATGGGGTTTGGGGTTTATGGCTTTTCGGATAGGGTTACGGGGGTACTTCCTCTACACCCAAAAGCAGAAACCTTGCTTGTCCGTTTCCCAGGGCCCTAGGGGAACGTAAGCTGCTAGGATCCCACACCCCAAGAAGGTGAAAGGTTACTGATTCCACCCCAAACCCTAAACCCTAAACCCTAAATCCTAAACCCTAAACCCAAAACCCTAAACCCTAAACCCTAGAACCCTCGCACCCTTCCGGGCTTCTCTAGCCTCTGCACCCAAACGCGACGACCCCTTTTCTCCAGCGATCCTTGAGCTCCCTAATGATAGGATGAAACTTACATCCTAAGAAACAGGAGCCCTACATTGCGCTAGTCTAAGATGTCCACATATGTATCTGCTTGTACAGCTACATATGTATACCAGTATATCAGCAAATCCAGAAATGTGGGAATTTAACAATGGCAAAAACACCTTAACTAGACCCTTTTGAACACATGCTCTCAAGTAAACCCCATACCCCAAACCCCAAACCCGCCCCAAACGGAGCCTCATGGGCTTGCTGCCTGGTTCATCGTCCTTTTCTGATCGCGTCACGCGACGTCGCCAGGGTTTGATGGGATCAGGGGCCTGGGTGTCCGAACTCGCAAAGCTTAGTTGTCCAGTAACTAGGGGAAACTAAAGGTTAACCTTTGGGATTATAAGGGCATTATACTACCCCAAAAAGGTTAAAGGTTACATACTCTACTACTACGAAAGTTACAAAGCCTTCAGGACGGATGAAATGTAGAAGACCCAGGAGTGATAGGGAAGAAAAAGAGTACCCAAAGGGGTACCCGTTTTGGTTTCAAGGGGGTTATAAGGGAGCCGTACCGCTAAACAATGAATTAAGGGCCTACTCCGGGTCCGAGTGTATACAGGGTTTAGGTTGCGGTGGGCCTCAATGATTCTTTTGAACAGTTTTCTTCATTCATTATTAAGAATTTACGCATATTTTTGTCTTATTTTATTTTCTATCTATTTTTTCTGGGGGGTTCGTATTGTAGTAGCATAGCCAACTAGTAAGTATTCCGACCCCTAAGTTTTCCTATACTCCCTTAGAACCTCAATAAAAATATGTTTTTAATATCCTCTTGGGTTTTATATAAGCAACAATAATTTTTTCATTTCCAAGGGGGATATGTTTTCTGGCACTGGCACTTTGCTCTTCGGACGCCGACGGCCACTGGGCATCTGTCAGCATACTTGAAGTAGGGTTTATATTTCTTGTACCCCCAAAAGGGCACCCAATATATACACTCACCAAAACTACCCTAAACCCTAAGCCCTAAGCCCTAAACCCTAAACCCTAAACCCTAAACTACACTCACCAAAAACAGTAATGTAAACCCTACTTCACGTCGGTGTGGAGCCATGGTCATGGGATCCATGCCAGCTCCGGGATGAAGCGGTTTAGGGTTTAGGGTTTAGGGTTTAGGGTTTAGGGTTTAGGGTTTAGGGTTTAGGGTTTAGGGTTTAGGGTTTAGGGGCAACTTCATCCATCAATTGGGGCTATGCGGGTGCACCACAGATATTGCGGGCATCGGCACCCTGCCACTGTGACAGCGCCCTTAATTCATCTTTCATGCAATACACAAAAAGGGGCCTAAGTAGGGTTTAGGGTTTAGGGTTTAGGGTTTAGGGTTTAGGGTTTAGGGTTTAGGGTTTAGGGTTTAGGGTTTAGGTTTTGGGGTTTAGGGTACATAGTAGAAAGCAGCGTTTCCATAAAAGGAACTACCCTTATGGTTTGGGCAAGCGTCCCCCCCCCGTGTAGGTACTTAGGACCCTTAGAGTTGACAGGGCGGTCGTTTCACGGACGTGCCTCTGCAGAACAAAGCCAAGACCATGCCATGGTGTCTGTCACATTAGGAGACAACCTTTGAACTCAAGAAACACGCAACAAGAAAGACCCTAAACCCTAAAACCCTAAACTCTAGACCCTAAACCCGAAAAAACCCGAGAAATCAAAAGCCTCTCCACTGGGAAGTCCACAAGCCCCTCTCCCTGTCAGAAGGCTGCTGGTGCCTAAAGCCAATCAGATGAAGCAGCGGAAGGAGTGCTCCCACTGCACAGATGTCTCGTTGAACTGTAGGTAGCACACCGCGGGCTGTCTCGGACAAGGCATGTCGCTGTGCTCGGCCACGCGCCACACGTAGCCTAGCCGAGTCTCGCACAGGACCTTGAACTGCTCCATCGCCTCCTCATACCTTAACTGAACCTGGGTTTAGGGTTTAGGGTTTAGGGTAACCCCGCAAAAAACAAAGCAACTTGTGCTGTTTCTTAGGAATTGGAGTACCCAAAAAACAGCTATTCCCAAGTATCCCTAAGATACTGCTCCTGATCCAAGAACTCGCTGAGCCTCCTTTGCAGCTTCTGGCGTTTGCGGCGCCGGCTGGCCGGGTTCGTGGCAGCCTGGATGGAGCCTTAGTTGCTGAGTTCATAAGCCCCCAAAAAGTGCACACTTTCAGCTCTATAGGGGATTGTAATATCCCAAAAAGTGTAAAGTGTAAAACCCTGAACCCTGAACCCTGAGCCCTGAACCCTGAACCCGAAACCCTAAACCCTAAACCCTAAGCCCTAAACCCTAACCCCTAAACCCTATTCAGCTACTAAGGTGCAGATGGCTTGGTCCAGAAGCTGCTGGACATACCCTGGGCGTTTGCATTCCTTAGTTGCTGAGTTCACAAGCGCCAAGAAACTGTATAGGGTTTAGGGTTTAGGGTGTACACTTTCAGTTCTATAGGGGATTATCGCATCCCCAAAAGCGCTTAGCTAACCCTTTGCAACCCTAAACCCTAGACCCTAAACCCTAAACCCTAAACCCTAAACGCTATTCAGCGACCAAGATTCAAAGCCCTCTTGGCTCGAGGTGTCGCTGAAAGTCTGCTCGACCGACATGGCAAAGACACGGTGCAGCTTCGACACGGGTCACTCGGGAGCCAAAATGGCCTGCCCCAGAAGCAACAATACAGCCAAGAACTGGGTGTAGGGTGTAGGGTGTAGGGTGTAGGGTTTAGGGCTTAGGGTTTCGGGTTTAGGGGTTTAACCACGTACTCTCTGCCTGTAAGAGGCCAGGAATCATAATTATGATTCTTATTATTCTTCTTATTATTGTTAAAGTACTATTCATATTCTATTTTATTGATTTCTTTTTTTGTTTTTTTTTGCTTTTTTTTTGGGGGGGGGGAGTACAAGTAGAGTTACACTAAAGAATAAGTATCCCGACCCCTAGAATGCTGCCGGGCAGAGATGAGGTGCAGGGGCTAAGTCGTCTACGCCCCAAAACCTGAATCCTCGCTTCTCCAGTTTCTTAGGGGACACACAACACAAGCGATAAGTTTTGGAGGGTTTTGCTACCCCAAGAATGTGAAAGGTTGCTTTTTCCACCCAATCAACCCTTGAACCCTGCCGGGCACCTAAACTCTGAGCCCCAACGCTTTTTTTTTACCTTGCATCACGAGAATAAGGACTGTCTTCTCTAGTCCAAGATGTCTGTAAACATACATCTGAAACAAATTTTCATGTATAGTCTTTTTGTGTACAAGTACATGTGCCTGTCGTTCATTGGTGGGCTTACGTTTTAGGGATAGAGTTCAGGGTTTGGGGTTTAGGTTGAGGTTTCTCTTCCCCCCCCGTGGTCCGTGGTGTCTTAGGGTTAACAGGCAGGGTTTGCGGGGGATAGCATGGGGGAGGGGGGATACCATGGGGTGGGGGGGGGGGGGTCGATTACGCGGAACGCGGGCGCATATGGGCCAGCATGCAAATTCAGGGCTCATACATCAGAACCCTTTAAAGGAGGTAAGGGACCACATTAAGGGCTACTTGGAGGTTCATGGTACTTAGTAACCAATTATAACAGGACTTATAACCCACAGGTAAGCCCATTAAGTGCCCAAATATGGATAAGTACAAATATAAGTACAGTTATAAGTACAGTTATATTCAGCGACTAAGTACCATGAACCTCCAAGTAGGGATCATATTAAGGGCGACCCTCAGAATACATACATTCCTTAACTACCTACACGGTTCTGTTGGGGTCTGAAGATCCCCAATTTAGGGCTCTCATTGCCCTTTTTAACCCCTGAACTGAGGCATGAGAGCCCTAAACCCTAAAGCCTAAACCCCTCAACCCCTAAATCCCTAAATCCCAAATCCCAAAACCCCTAAACCCAGGGCTGTCCGTGCGGCCCATGGCTTTGCTGAGCTCCTCCTGAAATGGCAAATCCGGGATATTCAGATTCCTAGGTCATGAGTCCCCCTCCTCCCCCCCTCTATACTACCCCCCCTAGGTTCCCCCCATAATTAAGGTTATTTAGGGATAATAAAGCCTAATTAAGGCTATTTAAGGGCGGGACCTAGGGAGGGTAGTATAGAGGGGGGTAGTAGGAGAACCCATGATTGGGGTAGATACATAGTCCCTTAGTATGGGCCCTTAACAGTGTACCCCTTGTATACCCTACCACACCTCAGAAAACTTTAAAGGAGGTTGGGGAACATATTAAGGGCCCATGAAACTACCCCTACTTGGAGGTTCATGGTACTTCGTAACTAATTGCAACTGTACTTATAACCCACATATACGCCCCTCAAGTGTCCCAATGTGGTTGTAAGTACAGCTATAATTAGTTACTAAGTACCATGAACCTCCAAGTATGGGCCCTTAACAGGGTACCCCTTATAGACCCTGTACAAATTAGGCCCACACCTCAGAAAACTTTAAAGGAGGTTAGGGAGCATACTGAGGGCCCTACCCCTACATATTCAGATGCGAAGGACGTCGGCTTAAGGGTTGTTTGTGTTTGGGGGTTTAGGGCTTTCGGGGTTTAGGGTTTAGGGGTGTAGGGGTGTAGAGGTTTAGGGTTTAGGGGTTTGAGGGTTTAGGGTTTGAGGGGTTGAGGGGTTTAGGGTTTAGAGTTTCGGGCTTGGGGATTGTGGCTTTTAGAGGCGTTTTGGGGTGGTGCCCGTACTGTAGGGTTTCAGAGCTCACTGCCAGCTAGGCATTTCAGGTGTTCCGGGGGTTTCGGATTGCTGTTCAGGAAAATGAGGGACTCAAAGGCTAAACCCTAAACCCTAAACCCTAAACCTTAAACCCTAAACCCTAAACCCTAACCCCTAAACCCTAAACCCTAAACACTAAACCCTAAACCCTAAACCCTAAACCCTAACCCTAAACCCTAAACCTTAACCCTAAACCCTAAACCCTAAACCCTAAACCCTAAACCCTAAACCCTAAACCCTAAACCCTAAACCCTAAACCCTAAACCCTAAAGGCGTGAAGGGCTCAAAAGTGTTGTACGCAAAGGCCCGCCTCTGCCTTGGAGAGGCTGGCGGGTCCTGATGTACGCGGTCGAAAGGAGGTGGTGCCAGAGGGATTTGGGGTTTAGGGTTTTGGGGTTTAGGGATTCAGGGTTTAGTTTAGGGCTTAGGGGTTAGGGTTTTGGGTTTAGAGGGAATCTCCTGTGTGTTGAGGTCCAGAAGACCTAGAATTGCAACTGCACAGCCCTCAGCCCTTTAGATCCACGAGCTCTGCGTGCCCAAATCTTTACCGGCAAGTGTCAAAGGTAGGCTGTCAGGCTCCATGCTCCACAGAGGCTGAAACCTTGAAGTCCCCGGCGTTTTAGTCTTGAGGGCTCAGGAATAAGGAGGTTCAGGCGTCCAATGTTGGCTGCAGGAAGCACGTCAGCAGCTCGCAGCTAACGCCGGAGAGCCCTACCCTGTATACGCAAGAACTACGATGTGGTTGTTTCCGAACACAGGGTCCCTCAAACACTCGAGCCCTTCTGCTAGGAGACCCAAAAAGGGGTTGCCGAATTTTCAGAAATCCCCAAACACTTCCCCACGCAAAGACCATGAACCACCCTGAAAACCCCCAAGTCGAGTAGACCCGTAGGTTGGACCTTGAAACCCTCTGAAAGAACTTAATTCCTGAATAAGAATATCCTCTGGAGCCCCACGGAGGCAAGTCTAAAACAGAACAAGGTTGTAGGGTAAAGCGCTACACCCTAAACCCTAAACCCTAAACCCTGACCCCTAAACCCTGAGCCCTAAAGCCCTAAACTCTAAAACCCTGAACCCTAACCCGGACCCTAAACCCTAAACCCTAAACCCTAAACCCTAAACCCTAAACCCTAAACCCTAAACCCTAAACCCTAAACCCTAAACCCTAAACCCTAAACCCTAAACCCTAAACCCTGAACCCCTACCGCTCCTTCCGCGCAGCCCTCGGGCCCCTCCTCGGATGCCACCGCGGCCTCGGGCCAGTGGAATCCTTCCTGGGCCCAAAGGTTCAAGTGTAGGGTTTAGGGTTTAGGGTTTAGGGTTTAGGGTTTAGGGTTTAGGGTTTAGGGTTTAGGGTTTAGGGTTTAGGGTTTAGGGTTTAGGGTTTAGGGTTTAGGGTTGCGGGTTTAGGGTTTCGGGTTTAGGGTTTAGGGCTTGGGGTGGTGCTGCTGCCGCTGTTGCTGGTGCTTTGCGTTCTGTCTCTTGGCGGAGAGACAAGGGCCAGGCCAACTTGCAGTTCCCACCTTTAGAGTTTATAGGGCTTAGGTAGTTTAGGGTTTAGGGTTTAGGGAGTTTAGGGTTTATAGGGTTTATAGGGTTTTTAGGGTTTATCGGGTTTATAGGGTTATAGGGCTTATAGGGGTTATAGGGTTTATAGGGTTTACAGGGTTTATAGGGTTTATAGGGTTTATAGGGTTTATAGGGTTTATAGGGTTTATAAGGTTTAGGGTTGATAGGGTTTAGGGAGTTTAGGGTTTAGGGTTCAGGGTTTAGGGTTAGGTATACTTACCTTAAAACCAAGCACACGAAACAATGAACTTCAAATTAGGGGGCTTGGTAGAACACGGGTGGTGCATAGACAAGTGCAGGCCGGGGGGGGGGGTGGTGTCGCGCATGAAGCGGTTGGGGTCAAGTTTGGGTCCAGGGGAACAAACAGCAAAATATTGAAACCTGTGCTGAAGATCCAACTCTCTACTCTTTCCGTTAAGACCCTTGTGGTAAAGATTGTCGCACTCAAAGCCCAAAACCCCCAAACCCTAGACCCTTCTTAGCCAACTAGCTAACTCACTCGCACACCACAAGTCAACTCCACGCCCCAAAAAGGCGTAGGCGTAAACCCTAAACCCTAAACCCTAAACCCTAAACCCTAAACCCTAAACACTAAACCCTAAACCCTAAACCCTAAACCTTGGGGCTTAGGGACTCCACGCACCCCAACATGGACCAGGGCTCGTTTGGGCCCAAGAGGGACCTTCTTTTGCACGCTCCTACGTGGAGGTTCATGGTACTTAGTAACCAATTACGGTTTAGGGTTTAGGGTTTAGGGTCACTGTCCTTATGGACTGTACTTATAACCATATTAGGGCACTTCGGGGACTTATAAGTGGGATATAGGTACAGTTATTACTAGTTACTAAGTACCATGAACCTCCAAGTACCCCGCTGCCACCGCTATGACTCAACAGGGCTCGGCCGGGGATGTCTGCAAGCCGACACCACCCAGAGGCCTTGGTTTTCCAGATTCCGAGGTGAACATCCAACAGCCTGACATCCCTGAAGCAGTTGAGCAGAAAAGAGACCCTAATTTCAGAAAACGCCCAAACCCTAAACCCTAACCCCTAAACTAGCGAACCGTAAGCCGCAAACCCTTTAACAGAACACCATGCCGCGTGGCAGGGGTGGCAGGTTCTGCCCCTCCAGAGCTCGTTGCACCTCCAGGATTTAAGGGTTTAGGGTTTAGGGTTTAGGGTTCGAGGTTCAGGTTCGGGGTTTAGGGTTTAGGGCTTAGGGTTTGGGGAGGGTTTAGGGCCAGCATCCTCGGCAAGGAAAAGCTTCAACCTCATTCTTACATCGCAGCATACTGCTTTCCTTCCTAAAGAGCCACAGAGTTCGAAATC